CTCTCTCTCTTTCTCTGTCTCTTTCCCCTTCTTTCTCGTTTCTCCTCAGCCCCCTCTGTCATAGTTAGAAGAAACACGGACAGCTTCTGAGGAGTGTGCCAGCTCCTGTGAGGGTGGTGACAGAGTGGGAAAATTGGGTTTAATTCAGGGTGATGAAAAGTTTCTCTCCTTTTTTTCTTTTTAATGTAAAACAGTGTTTCACTCTCTATTTTTCCAGATGGCATATTCTGAGGGGCTGATCTGCAGAAAAGGCCAAGTGAAAAGTCACCCAATAATGAGAAAGGAGGAAGATGACATGTAGAATGCATGAATGGGTAATGATGCTAGGACTCTGAGCAGGCTGCAATGGTACAAGCAGTCACTGGAAAAATGGCAAACAGCAATCGGAAAATGTTATTACAAGTTAGGCAACACAAATGACTTTTAATAACAATAGAATCAACATGTGGCATCCAATGAGAAACTGGAGTTGAAGCTTGTCTTCTGTTGATACAGTGTTCTTTTCATTGTGGTAGCAATAACAGGCTGTTGGAAGTAATGGTGTGATACAAGATTCAAGAGGAGACTGAGATGTCTTATTGGGGCATATTCTCTCCCTCAGCCAGACAAGTGTCTGCTAAGAGAGGCAGGGGCTTGGAAGTATTGACTAGCTGAGGTTGGGCAACTTGGGAATTGGTAGAGCAGACTACTTATGGCAGATCAGGGTTGGCATGAGGTCCTGGCAGAATCAACCCCATTGCAAGCTTAGTTTTCAGGGAAGCACCATGCCTAAGGGAGAGCAGAGTTTTCAGGTCCCAGTCCATGCAGACCGTGGACCAAAAGGGATCCCAACTGTGATGGCTAATTTTATGTGTCAACTTGACTGAGCTAAGAGATGCCCAAATAGCTAACAAAACAACATTATTTCTGGGTGTGTTTGTGAGGTTGTTTCCGGGAGAGATTAGCGTTTGAATCAGTAGATTGAATAAAGAAAATCTCCTTCACCAATCCAATCCTTTGAGGGCCCAAATAGAACAAAAAGGTTGAGGAAGGGCAAATTTGTTCTCTGCTTGGGCTGGGATATCCATCCTCTCTTGCCCTAAGGCATGGATGCTGTTAGTTCTCATGCTTTGGATTTGGACTGAATTGCACTACTGGCTTTCCAGGTTCTCCAGCTTGCAGATGCCAGATCATGGGACTTCTCAGTCCACATAATTATATGAGCTAATTTCTGTGACAAATCACTCTCTCTCTCTCTCTCTCTCTCTCTCTCTATATATATATATATATATATGTATATATATATGTATATATATATATGTATATATATGTATATATATATATGTAGAGATACATATATATACAGAGATACATATATATGTATGGTCTCCCACATTATAAATTTCCCATTTATATTGTAGTACACCCACTCCAAGTGTATGTAGAGATACATATATATATAGAGAGAGATTATAATATATTATATATATTATATATATAGATATATCTCCTATTGGCTGCATTTCTTTGGAGAACCCTGGCTAATATACCAGTAGAAGAGTGGACTATGCCAACAGGTGGATGAAGTACAGAGACAGGGCAACATCTTAGAGGTTCTGTCAACAAATGGCAGTGGTTTGGGCCGGAAGGAAGGGTTGTGAGAACAAAACAGGGTAAGCATCCTAGGCAAAGGCCAGAGTGGTGGGACATATGGTCTCCCACATTATAAATTTCCCATTTATATTGTAGTACACCCACTCCAAGTGTCTCTTTCCCCTCCTTTCTCGGTTCTTTCTCCTCAGCCCCTCTGTCATAGTTAGAAGAAACACATTACAGAGAAAGAAACATTTTGAAAGGCTAGAAGCTCATTGATCATGAAACATGATGGCGCATGGAATCAGTGATGTAAATTGTGAAATGTAAGTCTTGGTTCTGTTGATTTTGCAGAAGTATAAATATGGGTGAATTTTCACCAAGCTGAAAATTAAGGATGAAGAATACCTGGGGAGGGGCATGCCATGGAGTACTATATCGCTACTGCCTGGGGCTTGCTTCCCAACCTGAAGGTTATCAGAATTGAAGCTCAGGAACAGGGCTGAGGGAGACTGAGTCACAACAAGGTTTCAGTGGAAAAGGGAAAGGAGAGACTGAGAGGCTTCAGAGGCTTAGCTATAAGAATAGCTCACTGCATAGCAGACACTATGAGGATTTCCCCATACATTCAGTGTTCTTAGCATCCTTCTTTTCCTTTTTTGTTCTTTCTTTTCCTCTCTTTCTCTGTTCCTTTTTGGATGTTACAAATGAGGAAACTGTAACACAGAGAAGTAAATGCACTCTTCCAAGGTGACACACCTGGCAGATAGAGGCCTGATCTACAAACTGTAAATTTGAGTCCAGAGCCTGGTCTGGCAATGACTGTGCTACATGGCATCTCAGCAATCTGATCTGGGATGTTTTATCTGAGCCAGACCCTGCTCAGAGACTGCCCTGAACCAACTCACCTTTCTCATCCTAGAGACTTTCCTTTTATGAATTCATCCTGATATCAACTTATTGTTGGGAGAGTTCAACTATAATGTGGTGTTGATGGCATTAACTTGTAATCAAGCTCCTAAGCTGTCTTTATACTTTGTCCCCAAATGTATTTAAAGTCATATTGGTATATTTAACCTATTGCTCTAGCCTGTCAAGATCTCTTTAAATCCTTATTAACAGCAGCTTCTTACTTTTTTTCAGAAAAAATCCAATACAACATGAAATACAAACCACAACTCCTTTAAAAGCCCTCCTGTTTTCAAAAGCTCTGACACATTCAGCAAAGATCTATTCCTTGGTGTCTGTCTGTGTTGTGTTTATTTTCTGCTTTTCCGATTCATGGAGTATAACTGTACCCAAATGTGCCTTTAGACAGCAAACTCTTTGGGGCAAGGGCTCTGCTCTTTGTTTTGGCACATGCTACCTATTATAGAGCTCAGTGTACACCTGGGGCTCTAGATAAATAATAACAATCCAGGAGCATTTCTCACTTGGAGAGCTGCACGGGCTCTTTCAGGCAGCGTGTTAGCTTTCTGTAAAGAACATCCACGTGACCGGTTTCACCTTGATATAGGAGGTGCCCATCTCTGCACCTGTTCTACCTGCTGCCGGGTTGGTGTCTGCCTCTTTATTGTTTTCTGTTTCTGCACTGCCCTTAGGAGCCGTTGCTGAGGAGCAGCACTCTGTTTTGCAGATGATGCTTGCTTTTTTTTTTTTTTTTTGGGACGGAGTTTCGCTTTTGTTACCCAGGCTGGAGTGCAACGGCGCGATCTCGGCTCACCGCAACCTCCGCCTTCTGGGTTCAAGCAATTCTCCTGCCTCAGCCTCCTGAGTAGCTGGGATTACAGGCACGCGCCACCATGCCCAGCTAATTTTTCGTATTTTTAGTAGAGACGGGGTTTCACCATGTTGACCAGGATGGTCTCGGTCTGTTGACCTCGTGATCCACCCACCTCGGCCTCCCAAAGTGCTGGGATTACAGGCTTGAGCCACTGCGCCGGGCCGATGCTTGCTTTTATGAATGTTTTGATTTCAACTTTAGCTGGGAGGCATCCTCCTTTTCCTCCCTGCTTCAGTGCAAAACCCTTCCCCCCCACCCCACATCCTGAAGTGTGGATCCCGGATGATTTCCAGTGGACAGAGCCAGAATAGAGGAGGCAAAGAGGTGGAAGGGATGGTCATTTGAATTTCAGCAGTAAAAACAATTAACCAAAACTGACTTTCACAGATTTTAGTAAACAAGACTTTGATGTCGGTTTTGTTCTCCCCCATTCTCATGAGCGGGTGGAGTGGAGGAAATTACACCTTTTATAAGCTTTGAAAAGAATAGTTTAAATGTAGTTAACAGGGCCGGGCGCGGTGGCTCAAGCCTGTAATCCCAGCACTTTGGGAGGCCGAGGCGGGTGGATTACCAGGTCAAGAGATCAGGACCATCCTGGTCAACATGGTGAAACCCTGTCTCTACTAAAAATACAAAAACTTAGCTGGGCATGGTGGCGCGTGCCTGTAATCCCAGCTACTCAGGAGGCTGAGGCAGGAGAATTACCTGAACACAGGAGGCGAAGATTGCGGTGAGCCGAGATCGCGCCATTGCACTCCAGCCTGGGTAACAAGAGCGAAACTCCGTCTCAAAAAAAAAAAAAAAAAAAAAAAAAAATTAGTTACCATACATATTATCATCTTCAAAATATAGAAAGAAAGAGATACTGGTTGGCTTTAATAGATCTGAAAACAAAGTTGCCTGCTTTGATTGCAGCCAGACTAGATTACCGTCATTGTCTCAAGTGGCACTTTTGCCAGCAATTAAAATCAATGTTCTGGAGGGGCCAGGATTCAGTTGAGAGGAGGGTGTCTTACACTATTCTCTGAGATTTATAATAAGAATTTAATTTGCCCCTTTGGGTTGCTGTTGCGTAAGGAATGTTGCATTTTAACAGACTAAATCTTTAGCTTTTGGATGACCTGTCTCGATCTCACGCCTTCTGATTCTCATTGGCAAACCAAACTTCAGCAGTAAATAGTGCTTGTATTTTCAATAAAACGGACCTTTAAGCTTTTCATTTTATCATGCTAACATCTCAGTCACTCACTTCCAAAGTAGTCAGGCCAAAAATTGTATGCCAGGAAACGCCTATATTCTCCTGTAGTGTGTGATGTGTACATGAAATTGGTATTAGTTGTATGGTTGTATATTTTTGTTCCAAAGAGTAGCTTTATTTCTAGACCAACTTTAATTTCTGCTGCCGAATTGTCAACCTGTTTTTAAAATAAACCAGTTCAATTTCCTAATTTCTTGGTCAAGATGTGTAAAATATAGTCCAGTTCAAAGCTTAATGAGTTCACTGTTCAACTGTGTCAAGACTGCTTTCCCCATCAAGTTTCTTTCTGTCTTAGTCCATTCTTGTGTTGCTGTAAGGAAATACCTGAGGCTGGGTAATTTATAAAGAAAAGTTTTTTTTCCTGGATACGGAGTCTCACTCTGTCACCCAGGCTGGAGCAGTGGAGTGATCTTGACTCACTGCAACCTCCACCTCCTGGGTTTAAGCAACTCTTGTGTCTCAGCCTTCTGAGTAGCTGGGATTACATACACACACCACCACGCTGGGGTAATTTTTGTGTTTTTGGTAGAGACAGGGTTTCACCATGTTGGCTAGGCTGGTCTCAAACTTCTGATTTCAAGTGATCCACCTGCCTCAGCCTTCCAAAGTGCTGGCATTATAGGTGTGAGCCATTGTGCACTGTCAAAAAGTTTTTTATTTTGGTTTACAGTTCTGCAGACCATACAAGAAACATAGTGTCAGCATCTGCAGCTGGTGAGGGCTTCAGGAAAACTACAATCATGGCGGAAGAAAAACTGGGAGCTGGAATATTACAAGGTGAGAACAAGAGCAAGAGAGAGAAAAGGGGAGGTCCCAGACTCTTCATCAACCAGATGTTGTGTGAACTAACTGAGCAAAAACTCACTTATCATCAAGGGGATGGTGCTAAACCATTCATGAGGGATCTGCCCTCATGATCCAACCACTCTTCACCAGGCCCCACATCCAACATTGAGAATCACATTTCAACATGAGATTTGAAGGGGACAAACATCCACCCCATATTGCTTCCTCTTCGTTTCTCCTAATCCAGCTTCTTTATTAACCCAAGGAGAGAGGGAGTGCCTCTCCTAATATTGAAGGTGGAGAGATGCCACATCCATTTTCCTATTCTGCTGATGTTCCTGTAGTCTATTATCTTATGCTGGTAGACACCTGGGGAAATCACAGAGAGAAGCAACTATCACTCTTTTCATGCTACAGGTGGCTACTTTCTCCTTTTTCTCTTTTTGGGCATTCCTCCCCAGGGGGTCTCCCAGGATTGCTTGTTGGCTTGTCCTTGTGTTGGGCCCATGAGATACTCACAGACTGTGGCTGATGATGGTGGGCAGGGCCTTTCTCACGACTGTGTGTACATGTCACCCACACTCTGATTTCCTTCAAGTCTCATGGGGCTGAATATATTTGAAAGGACTGCTGCCCTCCAACCATATCTGGAAAATATATTTGCAATCTTATTTTTTCCCTGTCACACATTCTCAAACATCACAGGATAATGCCCTAGTATTCTTCAAGTTTCTAGTTTGGCCAGAGGAGGAAAAGAGTAAAAAAATTCCTCATTGCTCTTTTCATCTAGATTTCTCTGTCTCTCCTCTTCTTACATGCTCAAACTCTTATGGTATGGCAGCAGGACAGGGGGTGGTGTGTGGGGAGGGAAGATAGGGTAGGGACTAGCTCCTTCACTTTAAAAATGTGCACCAGTCTCCTTTCTCACATCTGAGGCTTCTGTCTCAAAGTCAAGACTTAGATATTTCTCCTTACTCCTCCTTGGCAACTCCTTCCCCATGGCAAATGGTAACTCACTGTCTCATGGACCGAACGGGGATGCTGCAGGGAATATGAATACTACTTGCTGCTTGATGTCTGAGTTTATTAATCTGCCACAAATACTTTTTGTTTCTTCCTGCTGTATACGTGTGTGTGTGTGTGTGTGTGTGTGTGTGTATTTTGGCAACTAACATAACTGAAGTATTCATATAAAGAACACAATTCTCACATATAAAAATGTTTTGTAAAATAAACGATGCCAAACATACAGATATTTAAGAATATTAATGATCCATCTGGAGTTAATTTTTGCATAAGGTGTAAGGAACGGATCCAGTTTCAGCATTCTGCATATGTCCAGCCAGTTTTCCTAATACCATTTATTAGGGAATCCTTTCCCCATTGCTTGTTTTTGACAGGTTTGTCAAAGATCAGATGGTTGTAGATGTGTGGCATTACTTGGGTGGGGGATTGGGGAGGGATAGCATTAGGAGAAATACCTAATGTAGATGACGGGGGCATGGATGCAGCAAACCACCATGGTGCATGTATACCTGTGTAATAAACCTGCACAATCTGCACATGTACCCCAGAACTTCAAGTATAATAAAAAATAATTACAAAAAAGGAAAGGAAGGGCCAATAGACAATTTTCAAAGCAAGAATTTCAAGGTCAACCTCCGACTGCCATGGGAAAAAAAAAAAGAATATTACTGATGACATCATCTCAAGAACCATCTGTAAGAAAGGATCAACATAACATTTTTGTTCTGAGAAGGAAATATTCATGCCTGTGTGAACATAGAAATATAACAGTTAAGTCATATAAATATTTGGTGATTTTCCTTTCCTTTTTTTTTTTTTTTTTGTTGAGCACAGTCTTGCTCTGTCACCCAGGCTGGAGTAGAGTGGCATGATCTTAACTCACTGCAACCTCCGCCTCCTGGGTTTAAGCGAGTCTTGTGCCTCAACCTTCTGAGAAGCTGGGATTACAGATGTGCACTACCACACCTGGTTAATTTTTGTAGTTTTTTTTTTTTTTTTTAGTAGAGATGGGGTTTCACCATGTTTGCCAGGCTGGTCTCGAACTCCTGACCTCAAGTGATTGGACTGCCTTGACCTCCCAAAGTGCTGGGATTACAGGTGTGAGCCACTGTGCGTATATTTGGTGATTTTTCTTTTTTTCTGGAGACTCTGGGAGCAAGGTGACAGTCTTCTCTAATTCTAGGCTGGTGTGAGACATGCACAGGAATGCTGGGATGAAGGTCTCTTGGTCAGAACTGGATGAGGACTTTATCATAATTTGTGGATTATTCACAGCAAGTATAGAATTTCGGGGTGGTTTTCTGTACCACTCAGAATAGGGTGGATCTCTTTTCCACACTTTCATGTGGTAGAGGAATTACATTTAATTTCCTCTTTAGTGACTATTCACCCAGCCTCCTCCACATTCATTCTCTAGATGGCAGCCAAAAAGATCTTTTTGGAGAGCAAAACAGAGCCAGTCTCTCTTCCAGGGAATACTCTGCAACATCTTCCCACTGGTCTAAAAAAACAAAAAGTTTCTTGTGGACATCAAGGCCTCATGTGGTCTGCCCACTATCAGCTGCACTCACGGGCACTTTCTGCAGCTCTCCCCTCTCCTCACGCTGGCTTTTTCTTGCCATTTCCTGCTTGCTGGGGTCCCTTGCCTCAGAGGGCCTTTGCCCATGCTGTTTCTTCAGTTGGAAGCACTTCTTTTCTTTTTCAGCCTGGTCATAGTTTCAGTCTTACCTTTCTTGTGTCATTGGAGTCTGTGTTTGTGTGATTTAAGCCTGTGCCTCTCACTCGACTGTGAGCTCTGCCTGCAAGTTTTGCAGATGACTGCATTGCTTTTCTTGCATCCAGGAAAAGGTGCCATTTAACCTGGATCATGGTGGATCAGCAGGAGGTTATTGTGGGAATGGGTAGAAAGGCATTTCAGAAAGACAGCAGTAGCATGAGCCATATGGAGAAAGGGCCAGGATAAATTGTTACATTACTGAGGCCCAAGAGAAGAGTGATGGAGAGGAGGAGTGGCTACAGAAGAGGCTGAACATGTCATCTGAGACACTGGTAGCAGCATTGTATGTCTTGTTGGAACACTGGGCCTTATCCCAAGTAATGGAACCATGGTTTGAAGAAAGAGACTTACAAAATGAGATGGAAACTCGACTTTTGTGATGCCATGAAAAAGGAGTGGGTAGCTGGGTGCCTCTGGAGGAAACTATTGCCTAAACCCACAGAAGAGCTCATAGAGCTTGACCTAAGGATGTGGCTATGGAAATACAGAAGAGGAAATGAAGGAATGCGCTGAGCTTGGAAACTAATGGGATACAAAGTTGAGGGAACATAGGGAGCTGTAGTCAATTGATGTGTGAACTAGGATGGCAACTGTGCTCCAGACAGCTTGTAGAAGGCTTTGGTAATCTACAATGTCCCTCTTGTACCTAGCACTAGAATGGAAAACAGAGTCAACTCAGAGAGAGAGAGAGAAGGAGACTGGGAGAGGGACTGAGAATGGGCATGTTGGAGAGTGGTTTGTGGAAAGGAAAAGATATGAATATGAGGGTCCAGTTCAACAGTGGAGGTGGGTTAAATGGCTTTATTGGCTGCTTGGGGTCCAACAGTCACTCTTGTCAGCCCAGATTGTCCCAGCCTAGAGGTCTTTGTCTCTAGTGCCTTCATATATATACATATATTTTCATTTCTGGCTCTCCTTTCAGCTGGTGATGGGGAGTTGCTCTGATTCTGCTGGTGACTAGATGACACTGTGTTCGGCCTCCTTCCTGATGCTTCCCGAGTATTCTGTTTAGTTTGATCATATGAAATGGAGTCATATTATTCTTGTGCCTTCTTCGGGAAGCATTTTAGGTGGTTTAGTTGCTCACTGGATGTCCGAGTTATGGTTAAAATCCAGAGAAGGAGAAATACATGGTAACACAGCACCGGTCCAGCAGTGCACCCAGTCCAGTGTGTTTGGACCCAGGGAGAGGCTCTGCCAGGCAGGAATGGAAGTAGCATAAGGGGTGTACAGGCACAAAGCACACTTGAAGAAATGTGTGATGTCATCCAAAGAGGTAGATCTTAGACTGTAACTGCATATGGACAATGTGTTTTGAACCCACAAAGGTCTGAGCTACCATACCACCTTATTTATTTCTTAGGTCTTAATCTTGCTACTTTTGACTCTCAGGGTTACATTGTCGCTGTAAACTGGAAAGCCTTAAAGTTTACTCTAGGAATGTTGTATGGAACTACTCTCAGTGCATTCATATACTAGGAAAGAAGAAAGGCATTAAAACAAAAATTTTAAAGTCTTGGCTCTACAGGAAAACATAAGATAAATTTATCACTGGTTTTAAGCTAAAATAAAGTATTAAAGTATATATATGTTTACTTTTTTATAATTCCTTGCTTTGATGGCATTTTGATCATCCTACTAAAGACTGGTCCCAGTTGTACTGGATCTGATTTAGGGCCATGTCATATAAAAACATGTATGTTAAACCTTGGTAATCAAACAGTATGGGAGGGCCTCGGGGAACCCAGTTGAGTGAAGCAATAGCAGGTTCTTCTCATCCTTATCACATTCGTTTTAGAGCTCTGTTCATTGAGTGAAATCGTTTAAATAGTGGTTACAGAATTTATATTATTTTTTTTTCTCCTGTGCTCATACTTCTCTTACTCTCTCTCAGGCTGAGATCATAGAGTTAAATTTGCATTAATTAAGTGTACATTTACACTTTATTGTTATCTCCTTTTCACAGATGAAGAAATTGAAGCTTAGAGTAGTTGAGAAAATTGTCAGCCTCTCTAAGCTTTAACAACTAAGCATTCTGAAAGCAAGCCCTGGGGAATGAGCAGGCCTGTGGCTGGGGCTGGCAGAGCTGTCTCCTTCTGTTTTTCTTATCCATTATCACCCAGCTTCTTGATCAAACTCAAAACATAGCAAGCATCCTTGATTCTTCCCTCTTTTTCACCCTACACACAATAGGTATTTAAAATGTGTCAATTTCCTCAGTTTAGACCATCATTATCTTTCATATGAATATTAATGCGAATGAGAACATGATAATAGCAAATGCATGTGTGTGTGTCAAGCATTTACTATGTGCCTAACCCGGTACCTCGCACCTGGCCCATATGAGCTTACCTATATTTAATTCTCATAGTTACCCCTTGAGGTAAGTACCATTATTTTTCTCATTTTAAAAACAAGCAAACTGAGGCACACTTAGAGAGACTAAAAGATGAAAGACAAACAACATCCAATTTGATTTTCCTTCCTCTGGTTTGTTTTTTCCAATTCATTTTCTGCAACATAGTTAGAGTGTTGGTTCATTAAAAAACTTACTGTGTGGCTCAAGAAGGTAAAAATCTCTTCCTCTCTTTTTGGCATCTTGCTGCCAAGTTGGAATCATATTCTGTACCTTCTTTCATGAGACCTTACCTGTGTCCAAATACTAAGTGATGTGAAATTAATGGTGGAAGTTGGGGACTGCAGCTGATTTGGGGGAGAGCTATTTTTGGAGCAGCCTGTCTTGTGTGTCTTTGATAGATGGTCTATTCCAAAGACACTTGCAACAATAATTCCCTGTCACATGCTCTTCTTACAGTGTGACACTCTGAGATGTGGATGTCTATGTTCCTGCCTCTCTAATCTGGGTGGGCTTATGATTGTGGCTACTGTGACTTTATGTGACTTCAGGGACTGGATCATAAAAGGTGATGCGGCTTCTCCATAGATCACTGGAGTACTTGATCTGAATTCCTAAGCTGCCAGGTAAGCAGTCACAATGCCTGAGGTCACTGTGCTATGAGGAAGGCCAGGTGGAGCGACCACATGGACTGGCCAGGAGATTGCACAAGGGCAGAGATGTCCGGCCAGCCCTTTGGAGGAAAATCAGCCCTTTGGCGGGTTTTCCTCCAAAGTTTCCCTGTCTTCAATGTCCTTTGCTGTATTCTGCATTTGGCAAACTCTTAGTCACCTTTTGAGACCCATCTCCTCTCTATCTTCCCTGACTTTCCCAGGGAATATATTATTCTTTCCTTAAGAAACGTGTGATGTCATCCCAAAGAGATAGCTCTTAAGAGTGTAACTGCACAGGGACAATGTCTTTTGAATGCACAAAGTTCTGAGCTACAATACCACTTTATTTCTTAGGGCTGGTTAGTTTTCAGTAGATCTTCATCCTCTCTTCCACTGTTACCCATGGTCATGTACTTTTGTTTGCACCTCCAGATCTACTCCCCATCCTTTCTGCTTTGCTGTTGGCCTGAATGGATCAGGTCAGCTTGAATAGATAGCAGTGAACTCTCTGGACCTATGGCTTCTAATTGAGCTTGGCCATTGGCAGGAGAAAAGGGGAAATATGGAGAATAAAATTGGAGTGTTTATTTATTTAGTTTCCTTCCTGTGGGATTGCTCTGGGTTGGTTACCTCCCACCGCAAAGATTACATGTAGTGATGTGCTGATGCATGGTTAATTGGTATGGGGGTTGGAGAAGCCTTGATTTGTAGTGTTTGCCAATTTCTGTGGTGTAAATACTCTTAACATGGACAATTTCAAACTGCTGATGTGCCATCATTCAAGGCACTGTCTGCTCCCTCCAGCTGGAGTGAGCCAGATTCAGCACAACACTGTCCCCTTCTTTCCCTCCAGCAAATAGTCTCTGCTTTTCCCCAGCCCTTCAGACCTCTCTGTGCCACACTATTTTTAGCCCTTGGACACTGCACTGTCTCCTGTGGTTTTCCTCACCAAAATGATATCTTTGTAAATAGTCACCTTGTTAAACCCTCCTCAAATTATCCAATTTGAGGTACCGTCTGTTTCTTGATAAGCTCTTAATCAAGTTATACTATTGGTCATTTGGAAATCTTTCCTCTTGCTATATTGTCAACATCTAGAGTATAGAGATTATACTTTATTAATTTATTGTATCTTTAGCACCTAGCCAATGAAGAGGGTAGGAAGGGAAAGAAGGAATGAATTTTCATTGACTACTATGCACCAGATATTGCATCAGATACTTTAGAAATATTTTCTCTTTAATCCTAAGAAATCAAATTAATTCTAGGCACTGTCATTTCCATTTTGCAGATAAAGAAAGTGAGGCTCAGAATGGGCCAGTAGCATTTCCAAGTTTATACAGTTAGGAAGTGGCTGAATAAGGATTTGAACCTGTGTGTCTCACTCTGAAACCTATACTTTTTTTTTTTAATTTTTTCACTGCTGCCTAGTTTATGTTTAGTGAATGAATAGATGTTTTAATCAACAGAGAAGATAGAATGCCATCAGAAATGCCTGTTAAGGGAAATCTTCAAGTGGGAGAAATGGAATCAGCTTCCTCCTGTTCCTAGAAGTGAAGTTTCCAGTAATCTAGCCATTTTTGTCAACTGTCCCGTGTAAGCATTCCTGTGAATGGGGGGGTATTTTAGATAACATTAGGCAATTCATGAATTAGCCATAAATCTGGCAGACCTTTTTATTGTATCTTGACAAATTCATGTCTGCTATGGTTTCAATGCATCCCCCAAAGTTTACGTGTTGGAATCTTGATCCCCAGTGTAGAGGTGCTAGGGGATAGGATGTATAAAAAATCTTTAGGACATGGGCACTGCCCCCATGAATGGATTAATACCATTATTTCGGTAGTGGGTTCTTTATAAAAGGAGATGTTCACCCCCATCTTGCGCTCTTGTGCTCTCTCTCTCTCTCTCTCTCACCTTGTGATGTCTTTTGCCTCTTTATGACACAACAAGAGGACCTTCACCAAATGCCTTGATCTTGAACTTCCCAGACTTCCAGAACCATGAGCCAAAACATTTCTGTCTGTTATAAATTACTTATTCTGTGGCATTCCATCACAGCAGCATAAAACTAAGACAATATCTTACAGTAGTACTGGGCAGTTTCTAATCTCCTTAATGATTAAAAATAGCTTAATACTCTGACATGAGGCAAACTATGTCTGTATGGTTGCATTAAGTGATGAGGAAACTGCAAACATGATCAATTACAGGATAACTCTTACATAAGAAGACACTTTGCCTATTTAAAACTTTTTGCTCTAGTCTTCCATCTAGAAGGTACTGGTGATTCTAGTTGAGACTTGGAAGAACCCATAGCAGAAACCTTAAAAAAAGTGTGCAATATGTTTCTGATCTGTTAACAGGCCCTAAAGCAATTGGTATTTTTGTTATAATAATGGAAAACATTTATGGGAAAAATTGATACTGGTTTTGGCAATTTCAGTCTGTTAAGATGCCTCAAAAGGGAGCACAACAGGTCTAATGGGGCTGTTAGAAACCTGAGAAGACATGAGTCCAGTTCTGACCTTCTCATTTGCCTAATCTTATTTTATTTATATTTATTTATTTACTTATTTATTTTTGAATGAGGTCTGGCTCTATTGTCCACGCTCTATTGCTCACTGCAGCCTTCACCTCTGGGGTTCAACCCATCTTCCCACCTCAGCCTCTGGAGTAGCTGGGACTACAGGCCTGCACCACCACACCTGGCTAATATTTGTATTTTTGGTAGAGATGATTTTACTATGCTGCCCAAGCTGGTGTTGAACTCTTGAGCTCAAGCAATCCACCCACCTCAGCCTCCCAAAGTGCTGGGATTACAGGCATGAACAACTGTTCCTGGCTATTTGCCTAATTTTAAGTTACAGCTAAACCACTTAAATGTTCTGTGCCTCTGTCTCCTTCACGGTGAAAAAGACAATTGGATTAGACTAAAGGTAACTGGACTAAGTTACCTTTCTAGCTCTAAGAAGTTTTTGTAGTTCTTAAGAAATTTTCCTTCTTTTTAGTAAAATCATTAGTATTTTTCTACCCTTGTTATCTATGGTGTCTTTTCATTTCAATCTTGTTTTTCTCTATAGTAATACTTTTTTAGTTACTCATTATATCTATCTTATTCGTTATCTATCACCTATATACTATCTACCTAAATAAATACTAAAAAGAAAAGCTGCCCACTGTTCAATATAAGGACACAAATATAAACCAATCCCTACATATGTTTTGTGTATATGTTTGTGCACATATATATTACATATATGTACGTATACATATTATGTGTATACGTCCATATACATGTATAAATATACACACACATACATACACACACACACACACATACACACACACACATATATAAAAAAGCCCTGATTTATAGAATTTGCTGATTTTTAAATACTCTTACCATGGCCAATTTCAAGCCACTCAAGTTGAGTCACTGGACATGGAGCTGAGAAAAGATGCACAAACCAGACTCTGTTGGAAGGCAACAGGATTTGGTTGGAGCACATCATTGAATATAGACTATTGGGTACTACTGTTTCTCATGCTAAAATACCTATTTTTAAAAATTTAATTTAATTTTAAGTTCCAGGATACATATGCTGGATGTGCAGGTTTGTTACATAGGTAAACGTGTGCCATCATGGTTATCAACCCACCACCTAGGTATTAAGCCTCACATGCATTAGCTATTTATCCTGATGCCCCCGACCCCCTGACAGGCCCAGTGTGTATTGTTCCCCTCCCTGTGTTCATATGTTCTCATTATTCACCTCCAAGATATAAGTGAGAACATGCAGTGTTTGGTCTGAAATACCTATTTTTTTCCTTCAACTTTTATTTTAAATTCAGTGGTACATGTGCAGGATGTGTGGTTTTTTTCATAGGTAAATGCGCATCATTGTGGTTTGCTGCACAGATCATCCATCACCTAGGTATTAAGCTCAATGTTTATTAGCTATTCTTCCTGATGCTCTCCCTTTCTCCACCTACCCCTGATAGGCCCCAGGGTGTTGTTCTCCACCCCATGTGTCCATGTGTTCTCATCATTTAGCTTCCACTTATAAGTGAGAACATGCCATGTTTGGCTTCCTGTTCCTGCCTCAATTTGCTGTGGACAATGACTTCCAGCACCACCGAAGTCCCTGCAAAGGATACGATCTCATTCTTTTTTATGGCTGCATAGTATTCCATGAGGGATATGTACCACATTTTCTTTATCCAGTCTATCATTGATGGGCATTTGGGTTAATTCCATGTCTTTGCTATTGGAAATAGTGCTGCAATGAACATACGTGTGCATGTATCTTTATAATAGAATGATTTATATTCTTTTGCATATATACCCAGTAATAGGATTGCTGGGTCAAATGGTATTTCTACCCCTAGATCTTTGAGGAATCACCACACTACTGTCTTTCACTATGGTTGAACTAATTTACACTCCTCAAACAGTGTAAAAGCATTCCTTTTTTTGGCACAACCTCACCAGCATCTATTGTTTCTTTTTAATAATAGCCACTCTGACTGGCATGAGATAGTATCTAATTGTTGCTCTGATTTGCATTTCTCTAATGATCAGTGATGTTTGAGTTTTTTCATATGTTTGTTGGCTGCATAAATGTCTTCTTTTGAGAAGTGTCTGCTCATGTCCTTTGCACACTTTTTAATGGGGTTGTTTTTTTTTTCTTGTAAATTTGTTTAAGTTCCTTATAGATTCTGGATATTAGACCTTTGTCAGATGGATAGATTGTATTTTATCCCATTCTGTAGGTTGTCTGTTCACTCTGAAGGTAGTCTCTTTTGCTGTGCAGAAGCTCTTTAGTTTAATTAACTCTAATTTGTCAATTT